TTTTTGAAAGTTAGACCCTCCAGAAAAACGCGATTCTGCGATCGCAGAATTTACCGCATAATAAGCAAAATGGCGCATATTTATCAAAAGGCCGCATAATCCCCACATTTTCCACAAAGTTGAGAAAAAAAAAAGTTAACTCGTCTTGACGTGACGTCATCAGCTCGCGCATCACAGAATGTAAACAACACTGTATTGAGTGAACGTGTGGAGCTCACACGATAGAGAAAACACCAAGATGAAAAAATCTAATCCATCTCATTTACCGACGAACATTTCTACTAAAGACCGGGCAAAAAGTGGGGGGAAACTATTCTGCACCCCGTGCAACTGTGTGTTGGAGCATAAGAGAAAATCGACGGTGGCGACCCACTTTGATTCATTCAAACATTCGAAAATGCTTTCTGCTGCTGCGGACAAGAAAGCCGAACAACTCACATTCACCGAGGCATCAACCTCCAAAACCCTTTAGAGGGCTACAAGAAACGAAGTGAGTAGCCTACAAGATTGAAGCTGCAGATAACGAACGAGTAAATGAAAACAGAATGAGGCGGAGGAGTGTCTGTGTGTGTGAGTGTGTGTGTGTGTGTGTGGGGGGGGGTTATGTGTGTGTGTGAGATTAAAATAGCCCAATTGCTTTTACAATAAATAAACATTGAATGTGTTTAATTGAATAGTAAAGGGGTTTAACGTTAGTGGCAGGTTGTGTGTGAGAGAGAATAAATAAGACAGCCCAATATTAAAAAAAATTGTTATTCTTTTCCCCGCATATTTAACATATTTCGCAACTTTCCGCAATTTCACTGCATAAAACCCCGCATGTTTAATCGCATAATCAAGGATTTTTGCCCGCGTTTTTCTGGAGGGTCTACCTAATGTCCGAGTGCAAGGGAATGCAGCACAAGACGCGAGCCTTGTAACCCCTGTAATGTCCCGCCATCTAGTGGCTCAGAAAAAAATTGTCCCATCGCCAAACTTACTTGCCGACCAATGCTGTATAGCCTACCGTTAGCTTTTTACTTCAGAAATCATAAAGTGGTGTTAATATGTGGAGGTCATCCTGCTGAACTAAACGTGTAAGTATCATGAACGTTTGTTTGACACAGAGATGATTTTCTGACATTATCCAAAATCACATGGAGGAATCCCATGTTTTTTTTGTGGAGGGCACCATGGAGTTTTCAACGCCCATTGGACCTCACCTTGCAAACACTTTGTTGAAGCACTCCTCAGCCGCTTGCAGGAGACCCTGGTTCTTCAAACACAGACCCTTCAGCAGGTAGATCACACAGCAGTCATCCACCACATACTCTTTTTCTGTGGAGGAGAGAGCAGACGTCTTCACATAGAAGTAATCTAAATTTCCATTTCCATTGAGCGATAAGGATTTCTCCTGTCACATCGTTTTAGGATGAGCTTCATTACCGGGAGACTCCAGAAGACATCGCTCTGCCTCAACCAAAGTCTGCATCATGCCTTCAGTCAGCTCCGGCCGTTTGCTGATCATACTGAACCCGTTCCACATGTACATCATCTCCTATAATAATAATACATTTCATTTTTATAGCGCTCAAGGAGACTTTACACAAAATCAGAAACAGAAACAGCAAAAAGAAAACAAAAAACACAACAACAGTAGTCCTAATCCAAGTGTGAGTAAAGTGGGGAGTTGTTGATCAGAGTGTGTGTGTGTATGTGTGTGTGTGTGTGTGTGTGTGTGTGTGTGTGTGTGTGTGTGTGTGTGTGTGTGTGTGGACCAGGAACATCATAAGTGTTACAAAGTTGACTAAACCACTCAAAATCCAATGAAAGTGGCGATCAGCAATTATACATGTTCAAATGCCTACTGTGGAGGATATCATAAAGCCAATCAAATATAAAACACAATATTTATGATTGATGGAAGTAGTAACACGGTCAGATTTGACCCGAACACGACACGGGTTAAAGAACTGGATTTATCTCCAGAAGCAGCGAGAGGTAGCTGCTGATAGACAGTAACTTAGAAATCGGTTTCATCTACTACAGATGAAGATGTTCTGTGTGTGTGTGTGTGTGTGTGTGTGTGTGTGTGTGTGTGTGTGTGTGTGTGTGTGTGTGTGTGTGTGTGTGTGTGTGTTACCAGCACTGGCACTGGCAGCCGGATTGGGCAGCGAGCCTTGTAGCGTCGGGCTTTACGGATCGCAAACTTCTCAGTCGGGGGAGACTTTCCGGCTATCTTCTGCTTTAAGGTGGGCACTTGTCTAAAAGGAACGGCACAATGAAAAAAGGCAAATTGGGTAAAAAGGCATAAGAAGAAGAAGAAGGAAAAACCTCCGGGTCTGAAAAGTGAAGCCAATGGTGAAGTGCCTCAAATCTGCATTATTTTGTGGGCCAGCAGGGGGCGACCCCACATAGAAGTCTAAGAGGAAATGACCCATACTTCTCACTGTATGCATTACCTCAGTAAACATTTCCATAATGAGTTTATGCTTTCAAACGCCAGTTACAAGTCTTTCCTTTAAAACAGAATGATGGCCATTTTGTTATTTATGGTCCCATTTTAATTAAATAGATGAAAAAGAAGGGTATACTTTCGGGCGGGGCTACCTTGTTGTACAAGTTGTATATTTTTGTATGGTAGTCTATGAGCAAAAATATCCCTAATGTTCACAGGACTTCAGTATCCTCTTGTGCTAAAGCCATTCTTAGGAGTTGCCACGACATCTTTTTCGTTAATTAACAGTCCACAAAAATAACATCAAAAATGATTATGGTAGTTGACCTTTCTAACCACGCTAGCTAGTGTTAGCTGGTCACTTAGCATTTTCTATGGCTGCCAAAAACAACTTCAGGCTTAAAAAATATGTCCTGTTAACCAATGAGTGACATGATGGTGACAACGTCCACTTGTTTTTTATTTTTTAAGCCAGACAGTGCCTAAAACCTCTACATTTGAACCTGCATTTGATTATTTCTGGCCACAAGGGGGCAGTGTTGGACACAATGACATATCATGTTACACCAAACATGTTAGCTTATCTTTGCATATCTATAAACACACATGAAGAGAAAAGCTAAGATTCGTTTGGAGTTGTGCTTCTATCCAACTCATGAATTTAAATATAATGTTAACTCTATTTTAGCTCCGTTTTTGGGCCCCACCAACTCCCAAGGGAAAATAGGAATGCTCCATTATGTTGACCAGCTAGCTAGTCATTAACTTTGTCTGTGGCGACAAAAAAGTTTAACGAAAACGGTGAGAGACCAGTTCAATTCTGAGTCATAAAGATCCAGCACGGGTCATAACCCTACAGCTTCTCACAAAGCACACATAGAGGTATGTAAACAACGCCACTCAGAGCTTGACTATGCATACATTGTAAAATACATCTATAACATACTGTAGGCCTTGGGACAATATCTGTTCGTTTCTGAAATCATCTTTCAAGTTTCAAGGCTTTATTGTCATGTGCACAGCAGCTACAGTGTAGATATGGCAATGAAAAACTGAAGTCCCAGGCTCCTCCAACAGAGCAACACGAATATACACTGAACAAAAATATAAACGCAACACTTTTGTTTTTGCTCCCATTTTTCATGAGATGAACTCAAAGATCTAAAACATTTTCTACATACACAAAATAACCATTTCTCTCAGATATTGTTCATAAATCTGAAAAAATCTGTGATAGTGAGCACTTCTCCTTTGCCGAGATAATCCATCCCACCTCACAGGTGTGGCATATCAAGATGCTGATTAGACAGCATGATTATTGCACAGGTGTGCCTTAGGCTGGCCACAATAAAAGGCCACTCTGAAACGTGCAGTTTTGCTTTATTGGGGGGGTCTGGGGGGGTCCGAAAACCAGTCAGTATCTGGTGTGAGGGTTAGGGTTAGGGTAATGTTGTGAATCGAGTGGCCCATGGTGGTGGTGGGGTTATGGTATGGGCAGGCGTATGTTATGGACGATGAACACAGGCCACTCGATTCACAACATTACCCTAACCCTAATCCTAACCACGGTCCCGGGCCAGGGGGCCCCAATCTGGCAGCCTTTTACCCTCCTCTCCACCAATTT